CCAATAAACTAGACAGTTTCTAGGTGGTTTTTAGACAGTTAACACGTTGTCAACTGGCAGTTTTTAGGCAGACTGTAAACTGGCAGTTAATGAGCAGTTTATTGCCCGTCTTTTTTCTCCTGGGTAGTTTCTAGTTCTCTGTTCCTAGAAACATCGAATATGATTGAAATTCATATGCGAAGAATCGGTTAACAATTTTGAAAACATCAGTGCAAAACATGTCTTACAAATCATTTCGAAGCGTCTTCCTGTTTTTTCAAAACAGACACTGTAATGAATCCACACACTGATACCTCTAGTCAAGATGTCGCTTAAGTACACTTACAATACCTTAATGCACTATGAAACATGAGCTGTCTTGGTCGAGTTCGAACATAAATGAAACTTCAACTACTTAATATGACTTCGAAAATAAATGAAAAAAAAAATTCAGCCGGCATTTGAGTATAGCAAAAGCAGGAAGTAGAAAAAAATTATTTCATTCATAAATTATATAAGTCGAATAGAACTGTCTTATGAGTACGGCAGAAAAGCATAAAGAAAATTTTATTTTATTTAAAAATTACAATTCTTGAGGGTGAGACAATACGGCACATAAACGGTCATATTCGGCTAAAATATAGCAATTGGGCGGCTGGAAACAGTGACCGGATACGGTGCATCGTATTGCGGTTTGGTTAGAATTTAATACGGTACCATATACGGTGTGTCGTTTACGGTGCTTCAAATACGCGCCATATTTGCACCGCGTCATCAAAGTGTCGTATATGGTAGCCGTTTACGTGCTGTAACTACACCGTATTTACATCATATTACTCAAAGTGCCTAAAATTCATAATTAGTTACCATGTATTAGTATACAACCGATAGCTCTTGTCGAGACCTATCTGGCTACCAAGCTTTTTAAAGTATTTATATTGTTTTTTGTTTAGATTAATCCAAACAACAATTGCAATGGTAAGTATTATTTCTAAAATACTAATTATATTTTTCTGTCTATGAAGGGAGAAGGGGAGAAAAACTTACCTTTCTTGTCATGGACGAGAGACGCATGTAAATACGACGATATATTACACCGTATGCGGCAGCAATACAGCACATATACGGGCTGTATACAATAACTCTAATTCATCACCTGGTGCCATTATTTTTCGTTTAAAAGTAGTGAGTTTAAAGAAAAGAGCTCTGTCAGGCATTGTAGTTTGACATGCTCTTTCAAACAAAAAATAAATAAATAAATGTATATAATGAAGGCCCATAGAGAACTGTGAGTTGCGAAATGAGCTATTTTTTACCCTTGTTTGGTGAAAATCGCCCTCAAATATCATGATATATAGCTGAAATTTTAACCATCGCTTCTCCACTACACTAAACATAACCTGAAAATTTCATGCGATTTACATGGTTGTGACCAAAATTATTTTTGATACTTGGGTAGGGGTTAAAAACCAGTCATAGATAACTTTGAGCTCTCTCAGGTCATCCCAAAAAAGCTCCAAATCACCTCTATTGAACACGGATTATCCTGACACTTTTTAACCTATAAAAAGAATAAAAGAGAAAGTTTTAGTAGAATCTTCTCTTTAACTCACGAATCAGCTGCCAAATTAGAGGTGCTGTGAGAGTAAATGTCATATCTCAACGAAGAAAGGGAGTTAAAGAAAAAATGCTTCACTTTTATCAGCTCGATGTGGGCGAATCTAACGGTGATAAAATAAAGGATCTATCTGTATTTAGAAAGGACTTGATACCTTTTCGAAGAACAAAGTGATTTTTTGAACTGTTGATAGAAATGACATTTTTCAAACATACGCATAAGAACTGGATGATCAGTAACTACATTCTTAGAATCAGTTTATCATATAGATTCAGAAAAAAAAATCTTGTAAAGCTATAGAAACTTTAATAAAGGTGCTGTAGGCACTTTTCTGTATTAATGCCGATGTTTTCCAGATCTTCAATTGTTGTAGTTTTTTAAAGTTTCTGATATAAAAAAATAAGTTTCTTGTGAATATAGTATAAATATTCGGATTCAGCATCGAATTGCATCCAACCACGTATAAAAGTTAAAAAAATAAAAACTACTCGAATTTTGCATTGTCTCAATCTTACATGTGATAGCCATTGACCAATTTAATAGGGCTTGTAGAGCACAAACTAGTGATATATGACTAATTCTACCAGGGATTACTTTTCAGCATCTTATGTAAAAGTTTCACATAGAAAAAAACCAAGTTTGTTGACGAGGTCAATTCCATCACTTATCGACTGGCTTCTTTGGGGTGTGACTTGACTTGAGGGATTTTGTTTTATGAGTATCTTGACTTGAAAATGTTTTCAAGTCAAGTCATATTTAATGAGAAATTTTCCTTTGTTTTAGGCATTATCTACCACAAAAGAGGCCTTCTAGGACTATAAAAAAATCACACACATAAGAAGTGCCGACAAATTTTATGTTCTGCCTAATTTCAACCTGACTTAAAGAAAAACAATTCGAGCCAAGACCTGACTTCACTCGACCCAGAAGGAAAATATTTTAGGGTATTATTTGAGTTTAACTGGGAAAACCTCTGACTTCCCAATCTGTGTTCCAGCCGCTTTTTCTGAGAAGCACTAATCGCACGACTTTTCCAAGATTGTGAAAAGGAACTTTAGCTCTTACTTGTAGATTTTCTGCTAACAACAACCGCAACCACAATGATAATTACGATGGCAATTGTAGCACCCACTCCGCTCCCAATAAGAACTCTTGGTCCACACCAAGTAGGAAGTTTCACCATAGTAATAAGTCTTACAACTAAGATCAATTCGCAAATGATTCTTACTATAAATTGTTTGTTAGTTAAATCTAAAAAAGTCTATAGTGTCGCCATAGAGAATTAATAAAACGTATGTGGTCACTATTAGCTGTGAGCATATCTCTTATTAGTTATTCAACCCCAATACTGGTCTGCAATTTCAAATTTTAAATTTTAAGGCCATAGTGTATGGATTTGTTTTTCCTTTGAAAAACAAAGTGCTTGAGTCAAATCATGGAATGCAAACAGTTTTAAAGTACACTACAGTTGTTGATGCAAATGAAACCAGTTAAAAGTGAACGTAGCTGCAGGCACATAATGGTAAAGTATGTAAACATGAAATCTTTATTCGAAGAAAACAGAAAAAAAACCCACACTCTTTTGATGACCAAATGATGTTGAATCTCATTCGAATTCATGTAAAGTTCTGTTAGACACGTAACAGAAACTACAGTCATGCACACGTTTTAAAAGATGCCTATATCGTGTAGTAAGCTTCAGGAAAAGGTTACTAACCTTGGTCCATTTGGCGAGCGTCGAACTCCAGTACCATCGCCTACTGGTTTCATCTGGACCTGTATCTACGTAATAATGCTAGTAGTTATCCTGGCTGTAGTTATACTCTACTATTCACGTACAAAACGTGTAGTAACAACAACTGTAGGCACAGCCGACCAACCAGTTAATCTAACAATGTACTACGACCTATTCAATGATCATTCAAATACACTCTACTGTCCGTGTACAGAGATTGCAATTAGCTACAGCAAAATTATGTCAATCAATCCTATCTTTCATGAAATTTGCTCTAGTCTCTTTGTTAGTCAACAATGGCTTAATCTGGTTACAACATACGAAGAGGAGCTTGAAGAATTAGGTTATCATTTTACATCAGATGCTTTCACATTGCTTGCATTATTTTGTCAGCTAACTAAAGGAACTGTTAATGACAGTATAAGTAATTTCTATGCGTCGAATATGGTAAGTGGTTATGTTATTGAGCAGTTGGTATTTAAATCGCAAGCCCAATCATATATTGAGTTATTCAAAGCGTCTACCACATATTCCTTCAGTCGAGCACTCGACCTGATGAGAACAGTGCTGAATGGTGATCAAGTTATGCTTGGCTATGGATCAAATTTCTACGGCACGGTTGATACAACACCGGCCTCAGCATCAAGCGCAACACCTGTCACATTCGGTTCACAACACTTTACAGATCGAGCGACAAATAGAACGTGCTACTGTCAGTTGAATGCATCCTGTACAACAACAACAAACGTCTATGTCTACAACAGTGTCACACAAGCTCTTGAACTAGTTCCTTTCCCCGGCTTCTACGTCGGTTGTTCGATGATCGAAGCATCGCTGCAATCAAATCTCTACTGTCTATATACCCAATCATGTATTGATAGTTTCCACTTACCCTTTCGAACTTATGCACTTAACTCGACAGGCAGTAGCCTATCTCAAACGAACACCACGGTTAGTCAGTTGGTAGCAGCACTGTTTGTCGAAGATTGGAACACAACAATATCATTTGAACAATACTATGACAACTGTAAACCTACTACTTGTTCCTATACAGAAGACATACGTCGTGAGGCAGTTGAAATTGTTACCGCTACTTACGGAGTGTATGGTGGTTTATCAAGCTTTCTAAAATTCCTAATCCCCGTAGTGGGGAAAGGAGTTGTAGGGCTCTTGAATAAATTACGGCAGTAAACGCTAAAATGTTTTTGTATTTGATAACACGAATCCGAAGATATCGAGGAATCAGTTGTAGCTACCACGACGCGTTTCGACCTGGCTAGAGGTCTCATCAGGTGGGGGAGGCGAGGGTGTGAGTCATAAAGCACATCGTGATTGCGATTTCGCTCTTGCTTAAGGGTCTCATCAGACGGCTTAAATTGTATAAAGATTCTGTTTTAATGATCGTAAGATCATAAACAAGACATCGATATCCAATTAATCTATTCGGCTTCTGAAGATAAAGATAGATCATATAAGAGCAGTCCACGTAAGGCACGACCGATGCCCACAGAGCGTGCTCAATAGATATCCTCCGATTTTGCTCAATTTAAGATATGTTGTAGAGGCAAATGCTTTATGAATTTTGACGCAAGCCACTTTGAAAAATATTGAACCCTCGATTTTTAATCCCCCTAGTGGGGAAAGGAGTTATAGGGCTGTTGAACAAATTACGGCAGTAAAAGCTAAAATGTTTTTATATTTGATAGCTCGAACAACATATGAAGAGGAACTTGAAGAATTAGGTTATCATTTTACATCAGATGCTTTCACATTGCTTGCATTATTTTGTCAGCTAACTAAAGGAACTGTTAATGACAGTATAAGTAATTTCTATGCGTCGAATATGGTAAGTGGTT